GAGAAAGTGGTCAAGAGGAAGACATGGTGATACCCAACTTTTTACTATTGATACTACAAGTATATACTATACTTGGCATGCAAGGACACTTCAATACAAATTTTATAGTTGACATGTACAAGTACTCAAAACATGTCATGGGCATGTACTTCAAGGTTAAGAGATATACAGTAAATAATACAATGCATTCAATTCTTCAGCTAAAACAACCATTACAAAAAAACATACATGTAATACTGTATAGTGCTTTATTTTGGCGTTTTTGCAATAAAATTCTAATTGGCAGTTTTTAATTTGGCGATTTTTGTGTACACGTGCAATACTGAGCATGCGCATTAATGATTGGCGGTTTTAATATTGGTGATTCTGCTTGCAAACCGCCAATTGCCAAAATAAAACTCTGCAAAATTAAAGCACTATATGGTATGTACAAACCTTAGGCTTACAGTATGACGTCATGACATGTACGTACATACATTGTATAAAATAATTATGAAACATTAACACAAATAAAAGAAGTGACATGTACTAAAGTAATTGTGGAAGCAGGGTTTCCCACAGGATTTTGGCATAGTGCTCATGCAGGTTCTTTCAAAAAATTAATCGCTAGAAAAAAATTCCATTAAAAAAATAACAATTGATATTTTACAAATTTTAAAGTTATTCCAAAATCATGCTAAACACTCTGTCCTTGACCAAATTTCATAAAAAATGACTAGAAGAGAATTCTTCATTTTATATTTTTTCTTGACACTTGTACATATACGTATTCTTGCATTCTGTAGCAAGTTTGAGCTGATTCCAATCAAAAGTAAATTTTTACAAATTTTAACAACTTACTCAAAAATCGGGTTGAAGTCCCTGTACTATTATAGTACAGGGTTTTTGGCCAAATTTCGCCAAAAAAGACTAGGAGACAAATCTTAATTTAAAAAATTTTTCTGATACACATACATGTTATTATGTTGTATAGGAAGTTTGAGCTCATTATGATCAAAATTGAATTTTTACAAATTTTTAAGTTACCCAAAATTGGGCCAAAGTCATTGTACAGGGCTTTGGCCAAACTTTGCTAAAAATGACTAGGAAAGAATTTCTAATTTTTATAATTTTTTCTGATACGCATTCATGTTATTATGTCATGTAGCAAGTTTGAACTGATTCTGATCAAAATTGTATTTTTTATGAATTTTTAAAGTTACTAAAAATCGGGCCAAAGTCTCTGTACTACTGTACATACATGTAAAATATGTAGAACAGAAAATGTCACTAAAAATTACTAGCAGAGAATTCTCAATTTTTATATTTTTTCTGTTACAAACATTATTCTTAATGTTACATGTAGAAAGTTTAATCAAAATTGATTTTTATAAACTGTTATGCTGCTCCAAAGCCATGTACAGTGCCTGCTTGTCAGCTCATGAAGTTCATGCTGTTTAGCTCACTTAGCATGCTTTGTGGAAAACCTTGCACATATTCATATTTACTGTACATCAACACTAATACAAGGAATTACAAGCAATTACTGTTAACAAATATAAATGTAACTTACATAACTATCAATCAATACATCAGAATTTAAAATGATGTATAGTATTATACATGTAAACAATTAATATTGCCCTGATTTGGGAGACTTTTCTACCATATACATGTATAGACAAATAATTATTATTAATAGGATAAATATTTCTACACATAAAGCAATGCAAACAGGGAAAAAACTCAAATCGACAATACATGTACAAACGATAGAACTTTGTAATGATTGAAACTTACATTTCAGTAGTCCACTTCAAATAAAAATAGCCATTAAGTTTAAAATACCATTTCTAATAAAAATATTATAAGAAAAGAACATAAAGAGACTAGCTCTAAACCACTCATTAATTAAGCTCAACCATTAATTACATGTAAGGTGATCTAAATTAAATTCTAGTTAAATTATATTTAGTTTATGTACTAGCAGGCAATTAATATGAACCGTCAAAATTCCCATAATAAAATAAACAATAATTTATTCAATTTATATTTCACAAATTAATTGTAAGATGTAACTAAAAAAGCTCAACAGTAGGCAGGGATGTGGATGAACCACTACTGGTTCCCTATTGTTGGATTACAATAAAAATATTTTCTACAGGTCAACACATTACCGTATAGACAAAGGTTTTATTGACAAAGGTTTTATTTTAACGAGTTGAGTCAGTTGAAAATTTTAAATAAAACAACGAATTTTATAATCGTCAGAAATTTTGTACCACGTGTACAAGAAGGCACAAACTTCTTTTATTTGTCAAATTTAAACTCACCAACTCGGGAAATTTACTGTTTTTATCAAATTTTTTATTCATCAATAAATCCCCTATACAGTATTGCTTTTAGGCCCTACACCATTAAAATACAGACTCTAAATCACACCCATTTGCTAGCAGTGCATGTATTTTTAGTCATAAAATTAAATATATCTCTTAGAACATCTACAGATCATTTACCTTATGACTTCAATAAATCAGTTGATATTTACTAATCCTAGCCTCTAGAACAGAGGAAATTCATGAAAGGAGTTCTACACTTCACAGATGACAACACGTGGTAGGGTGGAGTTTAACTCGTGGGCGTAACTTTAAGGCGTGGTCTTCACAAACTGTGACACGCCCATAAAAAAAGCATTCAAGCAGGTAACTTGAGTTTTTCATGGGTTCTGAGCTGCAGGTCAAGTATCAGAAGCTAGCACAGGAGTATGCTAAGGTATAAACTATCAGTACAAACATTTTATGAATTGTTTTGTAAATGGAATTTTTTGTGCACAAAATATTAGCGACCACGCCCTTTTAAAGAACTTGAAATCTTTAGCATACTATTTTGATTATTTAGATTGAGTGATATGCTGTATAGCTAGAAAATTTTGTGGCCTGGAATTCCTGCTTTTTTATTAGGCCACAGCAGGCCAAAGGGCATTCAAAAATTTGCAAAAGGAATTTTCTACACAGAAAAATAATGTATATATACATATACATACTAATTTTATAGTTAAGAGCTCAAGTTGACGTCCTCAAACAAGCTGTCAGAACTGAACAGAATGCAAAGGCATCATTGGAGGTACTTCTATATTTTGAACTTCTGCATATCATGACATATCAGTACAAATTGGGACATATCTATTATGATTTTACTGTGATATTTTATTTTTGTCTAGTACCTCTTAGTCTGTATGCATCTTTGCATTATTTTCTAGGTAGAGTTAAGAACAAAGGATCAAGCTCTTAGGAAACATGCACAGGAAAATGAATCATTGAACTTTCGAAATCAACAGGTATGAGAATTTTTTATTGAAATTTTAATGTCTCCATTATTATTTTGATTAGTTGTCAAAGCGTGTCTCAATGCTTCAAGATGACTTGGAATCATGAACAAAAGGAGAAAAGAAAAAGGTACATGTCCAAGTATAATGCCATTAAATACACTTGTAAAGAAGCATGTTTAACTGATTTTTTGTGAATGATAAGTGATAATGTAAAATTGCCTGGACCCTATTATGTACTCTTGCCTGGACTTAGAATATGCATATACTTGGAAATTGGTAAATAACTCTTAATTTATAGGTGAATGTGCTCCGAAAAACAATTTCATAATTACACAGTTGCACTCAATGGAAGTGTTAAGGAAAAGGACTACTGGTTATACTGAGGAAGAGTTTAAATCTACTCTCTCTGAACTGGATAAGCTATGCTGTGACATAGTGTCTTCATTTCCTCCTGATAGTGTCATCATGATTGTCTGTGGTAGTGGGCATATTGGGGAAGTGAGAGAACTCCAGAAGGATTCCAGTACTAGTCTTGAGGTCCTGAAAAGTGCTGTGATGAAAGCAAGGAAGGGTAGAGTTTTTGCATTGTTAAAGTAGTTTGATTTTATTTTTATTGAGAACTGTTTTTGAGATTTCAAATAATTTTGCATATAATGGGTGGTACAGGGACATGATGCAATGTAGTTTCACAGGCCAGACCATTCCCCAGCCTACACTAATGATTGTAGGCTAAGGAATGGTATAGACGCAATGAGTTTTGGCCAATGCTTATTTTTTTACAAAGCAATTAATAGAATTGTTAAATGTTAATAATAATTAGAGAGCAGCAAAAAAACTTAATCAGCAAATAGAACTATATACTAGCTAGATTAGTTAAGTCTAACAATGTACTAAGTTGGCTAATAACACTTAAGGCCTAATTAATTATATGTAAAGTTAGCGATTCTTTTTCTTTGTTGCATCTTGAAGACGGACTATTTCCTTCCATGTACAAACAACTTGACTTAGTTTAATATCAGGAGGAAACAACTCC